ATTCGGTAACCAATCGGTTATAGGTTTAATGTTACATCTACCCCCTTATTGACCTTATTCGCCCTCAACTTGTCGATATACCACTAACACATAATTATTTAATTTCAGCCGTTTCGGGTTGCAAACCTGTTGTATTTACACAATTTTACTTATTTGTAATTGTTTAATTATAATGTTTATTCTCTTTTTTCAATTTACTTTAAACAAAAAAAAAATATAACTAATTATCTTGCATCTTACAACAAACATTACTGCTTTGTCAAAAAATCTAGCTAGTGCTGGATATCACATTCCTGGATTATAAATACTATAGATACTGCCCTTTCCTGTAGTATCACCCCGAATCGTCTTTGTACTTTGACAGTGCTTTTTCGATTTTAGCCCTTTCTTTGCCCACTCCCCCTCTCGCTCCTTTAATCTCCTTGTAAATTTCCTATTAGTCATTTCTGGGAAATGGCTGAATCTTTCTCGTCAAGATTATCAAAAGAATTCACTCTTAAACGACTTACATTTTGGATTTTTTTGGTTCGGATCTCATATAGGTTTATTCATTCTCGGATTCTTTTTGCAAAAGGATGACAGATCTTTAGACAACCTTAATGTTATCGGTTTCTCTGTATGGACTTCTCGTGGTGCTGGTTTATGTCTTGCTTATGATGGTGCTCTCATCCTCTTACCCGTCTGCAGAAATATTATAAGATATTTACGTGCTCTAAGTTTTTTAAATAAAATTATTCCATTTGATGAAAATCTTTGGTTCCATCGTCAAACCGCATATTCCATGCTCTTTTGGACTTTAGTACATACTTTTGCTCATTATATTAACTTTTGGAAATTGGAACAGTTTGGATTGTTTCAAGCTTGGCAACTTCACTATACTACTTGGGCTGGCCTTACTGGTCATTTTATGTTACTTATTATGGTTCTAATGTATACCTCTGCTCACCATAATATGCGTCACCAATCTTTCGAAACTTTTTGGTACACTCATCACCTTGCCTTCTTCTTCATGCTTTGTTTATATCTTCATGGTCATGGTTGTTTTGTAAAAACTGCTCAAGGTGTATGTAAAGGTTATTTTTCATGGCGATACACTACAACTGGTGGTATTATATACTTCCTTGAGCGTATCTTACGTGAAATCCGTGCTCGTCAACCAACTCAAATTACAAAAGTCATTGCCCATCCATCAAAAGCCATTGAAATTCAATTTGATAAACCTTCTTTCCGTTATAAGGCCGGTCAATACTTATTCTTAAACGTACCTGCTATTTCAACATGGCAATGGCATCCATTCACAATCACTTCTGCTCCCGATGATCCTTTTGTTTCTGTCCATGTTCGTCTAGTTGGTGATTTCACTAATAAACTTGGTGAATTTCTTGGTTGTGATTCTAATTCTGATAAAAAATTTGCTCCCGCTGTTTTACCTACTCTCCGTATTGATGGCCCTTATGGTGCTCCTGCTGAGGATGTATTTAAAAATGAGATTGCCATTTTAATAGGTTGTGGTATAGGTGTTACTCCTTTTGCTTCTATCCTCAAAAATATCTGGTATGTAAAAATCATTTATCTAAAGTTTTCTCCGTTTAGTAATAATTTATATATATATATTTATATTTATATTTATATATTTTTTATTTTTTTTATCGTGAAATTAGGCATCAACAACAAAAAAGGGGCTTATTAAAATTAAAAAGGGTGGAGTTCTTTTGGATATGTCGTGAAACTGGCTCGTTTGAATGGTTTCAATCCTTACTGAAAACTTTAGAAGCTACCCAAATGGAAGCTGGTTTCCTAAAATTCCACATTTATCTGACTTCAAAACTTAGAGAATCCACAATAAATAATATAATAATTAATGACGTATCTGGTTCATATGATCCATTAACAGATTTGGAAAGCAGAACGCATTATGGTAGACCAAACTTTAGTCATATATTTAGTCAATTGAATAGAGCGATTGAGAGTGGTCGTTACATACCGGGCAAAGAAGGTGATTTAAATACTAACGTGGGTGTATATTATTGTGGTCCTCCCGCGTTGGCTAAAAGTTTGAAAAAAAGATTGCGAATCTGCAAATACCGAAGGTATAAACTTCCACTTCCATAAAGAGCACTTTTAACAAATTTCCCTATTAGTATATAAAATAAACAACTTTAATTTCATAATCGATTAAGCTTTAATTAGGCGTTTTTGATATTTTTTTTATGTAAAAAGAATTATTTCCTAAAAAAAAAAAAAAAAAAATTATTTTTTATTTAAAAAAATATATATATACTGTATTAGGACCTTTCCTGTTTACCTGCTACTATTGTACAATGAGATTTTATGGTGCCATAAATGTAGCGACAAAAAAAACTCATTTATTGTAGCTAAATGATGTATATTTAGTATTTGTCTAAAATAAAAATTCAGAACCCTGGAAGTAATCAGGACATTGTATTTTATTAGACTAAACGTTTCACTTTGGTAGTTCAATATAAGAATATATGTGAACTTTTTTTTTTGATCTGGTTTAAGATTAAAATTTTCCACTCTCCAAATTAATTTGGTATTTTCGGGAAACTGATAAATAGTGTGAAGTATCTAATGTTCTCAGTGTTCTCAAGATCATTAAAATACTGTATTTTCTGAGAATACAATATTTAAAGATTATGTTCTCACTTGAGATCATAAGAAACCAAAACTTCTTTCATTTTTCACTACTGATATTCATCATATTTAGATCATAATTAGATCATAATTATATCATACAGCATAATGTTTCCGTAAGTAATAATTACGGACATTACGCATTAATTCTCTAAGTTGTAAATATTTCGTAATGGTTATAATTGTCATAATGCCGCAATGGTTGTAATTCTCGTTATAAATTCCGTAACGGTAATAGGTTGAAAAAACATAACCATGTCTTGCACACGTATCTAGCTTTCAAATTTAACGATAGACAGCAAATAACGATATATGAATATCGATTCTAATCAATTTTTTCAAGGGTTGAGTTGAAAACACTCATGTTTATGTGTATAGGCAAACCAATCAGAATATTCAAGGGTTGAGTCCGAAAGATGGTTTTCTTTTGAAAACACTCATGTTTATGTGTATAGGCAAACCAATCAGAATATTTTAACACGGACACGCATATTGTAAAGCTTTAATATATCATAATATTTGGATATGCTCATGGTTATTGGTAATGTGCATGGTTTTTTGGCAACATACAGTATAACCTCGATATAACGAACCTCGATTAACCATAATGAAGAATTTTTCTAGCTGAAATTATGGATTAGTTATAGTAAGACTGTATATGGGAACCCCCACAGCAAAACAAGGCAGTGGCGGTTTTAATATTTGATCTTTAAATAAGTATATCTTATGATTTAGTAATTAGAATTATATTATTAGACCTATTTCAGTAAAATGAATCTAATAATATAAGAATCGTTTAATTTTAATTATTAGATTATGAGATATACTTAGTACTTATTTAAAGATCAAGTTTTAAAACTACCCACTGCTTTGTTTTGCTGTGGGGGTCTCCATATGTCTAGGGTAGGTGGCACGGTAAAATTTTAGGGCATGCCCCCTGGGGCATGCCCCCAAGCCGAGGCATGCACCTCTTATCGTGCCCCGGGGCATGCCCCTAGTATATAAATCGTGCTCATGTAACATGTAAAGATCGGCAAAATCGATTGTGTACTAGTAATTTTTTTCTGGCAATTTTTGCAGCAAATGATATTTATAATGCCATAAAAAAAAGTTACGGTTTTAAATTTTTGTTTACGTAAGTTAATTTATAATAAAATTCATTTTTTAGTTTATGC